ATATATATACTCAGTATTTTAGAGAAAGATGTTCATTTCCATGGGGTTATAGTAGGAAAAAACTGGAAGCAATCAAAAGTGTCTACTAATTGGGAATCTAATTACAACATACAACATAGGATAAATACAACACAGGACAATCATACCATAGAATATTAGGAATCTAATTAAAACAGGTGATTACCAGTTTAACGCTGTCAGTGAGAGTCTCTTTACTCAGTAATACCAGGGATATAAAAGCCAACACATCTTTGGGTGGCCCCCACAATTGAGTGACAAATATGGAGTTACAAAAGCCAAGTCACCATATCTTAAAAAGGCCAATACTGGCCAGGCATGGTGGCTCACGCCTCTCGTTCCAGCACTCTGAGAGGCCAAGGTAGGTGGATTGTTTGAGCTTGAGCTCAAGAGCATAAAACCAGCCTGAGGAAGAGTGAGATCTTATCTCTATAAGAACAGAAAAAACTAGCCAGGCAAGGTGGCACATGCCTGAAGTCCCAGCTATTTGAACCCAGGAATTTGAGGTTGCTGTGAGTTACCATGATACACTCTACCTAAGGCAACAGAGACTTAGAAACTCAAAAAGAAAAAAAGGCGGGGGGGGGGGAGAGGACAATACTGTATACCATCCACTCTCCAGGGTTCCCTATGGTATCAAGCTGAGGTTCGACTTTTAAAATTTTATCTCTGCCTAGTGTTGGTCCTTGCTTTTCCTCATTTCTTTTGAGAGTACGCCCTCAATAAATAACCACACAAAAATCTCTTTCTCATGCTTGCTTCAGAAGCACATATACTAAAATAGAAACAATACAGAAAAGATTAGCATGGCCCCTGAGAAAGGCTGACACACAAATCTGTGAAGCATTTCATATTTTTCAATGTTAGAGTGTATGGCATACCTCTTGGGGGTGAGACGCAATTGCATATCTAACAAATGCAAACACGGTAACATAATTCTTTTTACTCTCAAATTAACCTGCATTTAAAAAAAAAAAAAAAAGGATCTCTTTCTTGAGCCCTCTTCAGTGACTGAAATGATCCCAGAAAGCAGACTCTACGGGTAACATTGTGGATTGCTAACTCACTGTTGATGAAGACCCCACAATTAATGGCCAGCATTTTATGGCATGCTGTAGCAGTGCAACTGCTAAGACTTTCACCTGGATAAGTGAAATTGGAATAGAGGGAGAAAATAATTTCTTGGCTTGTGCTGTATCTGCAGATTTTAGAGGAATGAAGAAAATTAAGTGTAAGTATTATAAAAGTGGATGGCTATTGCTAAGTACTAGTAATACAAAGAAGAGAGGAAATCATGAGCTCAGGATGATTAATTATCAATTCAAAACAATGTGTTAAATTCGGAAATTTTTACTTCTTAATTTTTTCATGGCAAAATATAATAGAAACTTGGGGAGATGGGACAATAAAAGGAGTCCTAGCTTAAGCCTGTCTCACGCTAAGTTCACTGTGTTTGGAGACCCATCCAGAGGACATTTTCCATGTTCTTAAATAAAAAATTAGAATGGACATATTAACAGTTGGCAGAACCCCCACCTGGGTTCCCTAACATGTAGAGTTGAAGCAATTATAAGTCATGAAGTTTCTAAAAATGCCTCACCCACTGCCAAGATAGTAAATAAAAAACAGTATTATATCCCTAAGGGATATGCAAAGCTCAGACCCACCCTTGAAAACCTAAAGGCTATAAAAATGCATAATGGTTAATTTTATGTGCCAACTTGTCTGGGCCATCATGCCCACATTATTTGTTCAAACAATATTCTGGATGTTTCTGGGAGACTGTTTTTAGATGAGATTTACATGGAAATCTGTGGACTAAACTGCCTTATCCGTCAGTAGAAGGACTGAAAAGAACGAAAGACTGATTTCCCTGGAGCAAGAGGGAATTCTCCGTCAAATTGCCTTTAGATTTCATCTGCAACATCAACTCTTCCTCCTTCTACAGCAGATTGCCTTGAAGTAAATCTGCAACTCTTTTCTGTGTCCCCAGCCTGTCAGCCTCCCCAACAGATTTTGAACTGGCCAAGCCTCCACAATCCTAGGATCTATTTCTTAAAATAAATCTCTTTCTCTATATTGTCTTGGTTCTGTTTCTCCAGGACTAAAATAGGCCGGTAGTTTCCACCACATCCTAATGATTTCACCGGCCAGACTCATACAAAACTTGGATTAATCATGGTAGAAAACAATGATGACTTACTTAAGCCAAGAAGTAAGCCTGAATGTAGCTGTTGTGCCAGATATAATAGCTTTACTATAGCAAATTAATATGGGTTGTGGTACATTATCTGTATCTATTAATCTAAAAATTGCACTTTTTTCAATACCTACCTCCCAGGAAGCAGAACCAGAGGAAGTTTGCATTGATATGGGTCAAAATATATGTATGTATGTATGAAATATATATTATACATACATATATTTATATATATACACACACACACACACACAAGGAGTTGTCAAAGCTTTATCTGTAAAGGGCCAGATACTATTTTAAGCTTCGTGAGCAGAGAGGAAAAATAGAGAATATTAAAACAAATGCAAACTTCCTAAACTTTTAGCTGATGAAATTCAAAACATATTAGTATTTAGTATAATTTTTTAAAATACAGGTCTACTAATAGAATTCTTTATTTTGTGGAGAAAACATTTTGATTAAATGGGGGTAACAAAGTTCACCTGTTAAATGCTGATGTTAAGGTTCACTTGTCAAAGTTGATCTGTAATGAGACTTTTTGTTGTTGTTGAGACAGAGTTTTACTTTGTTGCCCTTGGTAGAGTGCTATGGTGTCATAGCTCACAGCAGTCTCAAACTTTTGAGCTCAAGTGAGTCTCTTGCCTCAGCCTTCTGAGTAGCTGGGACTACAGACACCTGCTATGCTTGGCTATTTTTTTGAGATGGGGTCTCATTCTTGCTCAGGCTGGTCTCAAACACCTGAACTCAGGCAATCCACCCACCTCTGCCTCCTAGAGTGCTAGGATTACAGGTGTAAGCCACCGAATCCAGCCTTGTAAGGAGACTTTAAATATTCAATCTTTAAAAATGACTTTTACATATAAGATAGGTACTACCAAATGCTGATATCACTCATAATATTAACTGAACATATTCATAAACTGGAAAACATTTATAGAATTACAATGGACTCTTAATCATTGCAGTTTAGTACTTGATCACATTGTACATGAATCACTTACAATCGACAGGTGGAAACTCATCAATTATAAAGTTAAGTGGATTTTAAAACAGAACTTTCTGTTGCACTTGAGTCAACTAACTATTGAACTATTGCTGTAACTGAAGTTTCAGCTCGGAAAATAAATTCACCTCATATTTATATGAGACTAGAGATCCCAGTTCTTACCTTGGCTTTACGACTGTACAGTTTGTATACAAAATAAGTTGACTCTATTGTAATTCAAACAATGTCAATTATTGAAATGACTCTACTGCAACACACACATGTGTGGTTTGCTATTGAATTCTTTTCCTTTTTTTTAAGTTAAATCATAGCTGTGTACATTAATGCAATCATGGAGTACAATGTGCTAGTTTTACACACAATCTGAAATGCTATCATCAAACTGGTCAACATAGCCTTCATGGCATTTTCTTAGTTATTGTGTTAAGACATTTATATTCTACACCTAGTAAATTTCACATGTACCCTTGTAAGATGCACTGTAGATGTGGCCCCACCCAATACTCTCCCTCCACCCATCCTCCCCTCTCCTCTCTTTTCCCTCTCCCCTTCTTCTTGGGCTATAATTGGGTTATAGCTTTCATAAGAAAGCTATTAAGACTGAGTACATTGGATACTTTTTCTTCCATTCTTGAGATACTTTGCTAAGTAGAATATGTTCCAGCTCTATCCATGCAAACATGTAAGAGGTAAAGTCTCCATCTTTATTTAAGGCTGTATAATATTCCATGGTGTACATATACCACAATTTATTGATCCATGCATGGGTCAATGGACACTTGGGCTTCTTCCATGACTTAGCATTTATGAATTGGGCTGCAATAAACATTCTGGTACAAATATCTTTGTTATAATGTGATTTTTGGTCTTCTGGATATATACCTAGTAGAGGAATTGTAGGATCGAATGGCAGGTCTATTTTTAGATCTCTAAGTGTTCT